GGAAAAGTAGGCCAGGAGCCTGGCAGCCCTCCTGGCTGTGTGACTTTGGGCGAGTCACCCCCTCTCTGAGCCTCACCTTGCTCATCTGGAAAGTGGTGTCTCCCCCCTTGGCTGCGCTCAGCCCAAGCATCTGTGGGAGCAAACTCCCATGTCCCTCCAGCATTCAAAGGTGTGAAAGACCCTCAGGCTTTCCACAACAGTCAACTCCTTTGGCTCTCTGCACGGGGGACCCCCCACCCACACATTCCAAAGCTACAGGCTGATCCTAAACGGGCAGAGCTCCCATCTTTAGCTCAGAGCCCACCACAAGGTGGAGGGGAGGTGGCAGGGTGGGCCTTGGAGGCTGGGCTGCGGCTGGGTGAGCTCTGACCCCTGACTGGAGTGAGAGCTTTGGGCTCATGCTATCCATGGGGCCCAAGCCACTAAGATAAAAACTGGGCTGCATGTGGCAAGCCTGGCAAAGGTGCCAGAGTCGCTTGACCACGATGAGGTGTGCATTTCAGTTACTTATAAGGGTGAGGGGTGAATGGGGCCTGCTTCTAGATTGATCCCAGCGGACTCACATGATCCCGGGGACAGACGGGCTGAAGGACTGGGACCCTCACTCGGTGATCCCCCACAGAGGCCTGCACAGGGCCCCTGTGCCCGCTGCTCTCAGTGCCCTGGAGTGGGGGTTCACGGTCACCTCGCCATACAGGAAACAGGCTGCCAGCCAGAGGGCTGAGTCCTTGCTAGAATCTCTTGGGTTTGGGGGCCAGGCCCCCAGGCCAGCACTGCTTCTTCCTCAGCCTGCTCCTCAAATTCAGTTCCACAATACTTTTCTTCAGCACCTGCACTCCTGGCCCGAGTGGCCCTTTCTCATTCATGGTGGGGAGTGAACTGTGACTGCAGTGAAGTCTGACTTCCCTCTGCAAGAACGTAGCTCTGAAGGGGCAGGAAAACCTGGCATTTTCCAGGCTGCTCTCCCTCCTCTCAAAACAGGACCACTCAGCCTGATACGAGTTAAAATGGACATGGGTTTTAAAATAGAAAAAGAGCTTTATTCACACACTCTGTGATATCACCTTCACCAAGCAGCTTAAAGGAGCTGGGACTGGGCGCCGTACGTACCTGCCTGGGGTCCGGGTGCCAGGGCAAGGTTGCAAAACAACAAAATGCACAAAGCAGTTACGTTTTCCCTACAGATGCACACGGGCCCGACGTGCTCACAGCCGTAATAAACCCCTCGCTTCACTGCTCCCTGACACGCAGTCCCCGTTCCCGGGACTGTGCCCTCCCTCCCAGTGCTCCCACATGGCCTGTGGTTGTGGCTGTGTACCCCCATGCACCCAGCAGAGCCCCGAAGCATCTGCCTGCACCCGGTCCCCCAAACATCAGGGCCTTTGATTAGGATCCCAGACCCGGGCTTATGCGCCCAAGGCCGAGCAGGCGCAGGACCCTTCCCTGGAAGCTGACCCCTCCCAGGCCTCTCAGTGGGACAGTGACAGCGGCTTACTCAGCTCGTGCTGGCCAGGGCGGCCCGAGAACTCGATGACCAGCAGCTCCTTGCCATCGAAGCTGCGCCCGATGCTGTAGGTCTTGGCAATGTGGGCACAGCGGGCGGCCGTCCGCTTCAGCACCCGCACCATCTGGGTGTAGGAGTGGTGGGTGAAGTGAAGGAAGGTCGGAGGCAGGCCGGAGGGCAGTGCCTCCTCCACATCCAGGCCTCCTGGGGGGAGAATGGGGGTGCTGGGGTCAGCCTCTGCCTGCCTGCCACCCACCCACCGGCCGCTCTGTCTGCCCACGCCGGCTTCCCCTACCGCTGCCTGGGACGCTGACCGCTCCTGCGCCCTCACACCCCCGTCCCCACCCCCACCACACTGCGGCAACTCGGGGGTCAGGGCCCACGTGTTCCCCTGGGATGGCCTCCCCTCTATCTGTGTTTATGGTTTAAAGTAAAACTCCCTCTATAATACTTAATATCAACAGCAATAACGGCACCCAACAGAGGTAATACAGCAACTTAGTTTCTAATGTTATTATGAATAAGAGTGATAATGTAGCTACTTTGGAAATTTTATAAAATGCAGAACAGCAGAATATGGAGAACAAGACAGACAGGCCTACAGAGCCAGCAACCCAGAGAAAAGCACTGTTTGTTGTGCGGTGTCCTGACACGGTTTTCTGTGCTGACACAGGTCCCTGTCTGCCTTGTTCACTCGGGTCGGATGGAAACAGTCTCAAGGCCTCTGAGACAGGCAATAGCAGCTCTAAAATGCTCCCACAGCCCACCATTCCACTATCTGAGGACCCCAGATGTTCGCTGCTGTCACCGACAGGACGGTGAGCGTGTCTGGGGGCAGGGGAAAGGGAGGGGAGAGAGGGACGTGGGTTGGGAAGGCGGCTTCACCCACTTAAAAAAAGTTCCTTAGGACAAACTCGTGGGCTTCCAGGTCTGGGGAAGGGATGTTTTCCAGCACAGCCCACAGCCAGCTGGCTCTCCCACCCGCCTACTAGAGCACACGCTCCGGGTGGACGGCCTGGTCACTCCTTGCCCGCCTCACCCCCACCACCCCCCTGCACTGACCCATGCAGGCCCCTGCAGGCTAGTCCTGGAGGAGCCCTAACAGTAATACTTTTCCCTAAGTGTCTCACTCACCCTGTGGTTTTGCTTCTGCTCAAAATGGTTTTCGAGGGGATAGAAAGCATACCGAAACCGGCAATTTGGTGGCGGAGTTGCCCAAAATAACCTCTTTCAAGCCAAGCCCTGGGCTTTCCCAGGGCAGGCAGGCTTGTCCCACTGAGAGTCTGGGTTCCTCGCTCTGCATCCCCGCCCCGCCCTGCCGCCTCCCCTGCCCACTTCCTGCCCCTGCCCCTGCACATGGCTCCTGTCCGCCTGCAAAGTGCTGTCCACGGAACCCCTGCCTCACACGGCAGCGGTGGAAGACGGAGCCCCACCCCAGAGTCAGCTCCAGGATTAGCCCTGAGCCCCGCCCCGTCCCCACAGCCAGCGAGTGGCAGACCCGGCCAGTACGGATGCACCTGTGTCCCCTGCCACCCTCGACGTCGTGGCACGAGCCATATACGTGGCAGGTGCTCACTAGCGGATTGGTGACAGGACAGACAGGTCCATCTATCCGTCAGCCTGTTCACACCGGCTCTGCCAGGCAGGAGCGGGTGACCCCACTGCTGTTTGCTTTCCCAGAGTCTCCACTCTGTCATCTGTGCAATGGTGACTAATATTCAGGGTAGTTGTGGGTTTAAATGAGACCCACATGTGTGGCACTCGGCACCAGAGCCTGTGAACCTCGCCCTTAGCTTTGTGATGTGAGTACATGAGAGGCTGGAAGTAGATGTTGGCCTGCACTGGCCAGTGTCACACGTGGC